AGAGAAAAATAGAAGTAGAGACTAATTTGTCTAGTCAGTATGTAATTTTTTCAAGCTACCCACAGGCTTATAACTGTAGTATTAAGTTTAGCAAATTTTCTGTTTTGGTTTTTGTTTTTTTCGATATCTCTTTACCCCTTTTCTTTCGTTTTTTGTATTCTTTTATTGTAGTCCTCTATACCTCTGTGTTTTTTTTTAGTTTGTTTGTTTTTTCTGATTTTGCTTCTTGATGAGCGGGTAGCCACCAGCCGATGAACAACGGAAAAAAAGTCTTTAGTGAGTTAAGGACCCTGAGGGAGGCCAAGAGCTACTGAGGCAGGTCGCACCTAATGTATAAAATCATGTGGGTGAGTTCTTCTTTTAGTTAGATCTACTGTAGTTAGAGATAAATTATATGTAATTTTACGTGAAGTTTTGAATAACTTGATTCTAAATAAACAAGGGCAGGACAGCTGAATTAGAAAAAAAAATAAAAGTTAAATTTTAAAAAGAATTAAATAGTTTTTCCATTAGAAGTGAATTGGTAAATTTATATGATTATAAAAGATTCTAAGTATAAACTTGTTTGCTTCTTTTTGGCAAGCAGATCTGCCTGATTATGTAGAGAGTTAGAGTGTGATTTAACTTTATACAGATTGAAAATGAGATTTTTAATAAATTTAATTAGATTGATAGTGAGTAGAATGTCCAATTTTGGTTTTGTAAAAGTTTAATATAATAAGTTTGTTTTAAGTTTTTAATTGCTGTCTTATTATCCAGATGGAAATGTATATAAATATTATTAGAGATTGCAAAAAAGAGAGAAATGACTGCTTCAAGCTCAGTACGTGTTGTATCTGGATAAGGAGTAATAGCTGTATTAAATTTAATAGATAAATTATTTTCACAGATCCAGCCAATGCCAGACTTTATATTTAGTGATTGTAGTTCTAAATTGAGATATCAGTATGAAAATGATTAATTTAAGTTAATATATAAATGAAGAAACATTATTGCAACAAAGTTTATATATAATTTTATATGTTTTTGCTATAGTTTTATATATATAAATTTATATTATAATATATTGTATAACCAATATATTATATTTAATTTTTTATATATAAAATTATAGCAAAAATATATAAAATTACTTATAAACTTTGAAATCTGATAGTTTCTTCACTTACATATTACCATTGGCCACTGCTTACAGTATTTTTCAAAAATAATATCTCTTATAATTAAGACTCAGATATTATTTACTACCCTTACTAGCTTGTTACTTGAATAAAACCCAGGATACAACCATATTGATTTACTACTTTTAATATGATATATCTCCAAATATAGTATCTGGTTCTTTATATAGTACTCACAGATATCATTCAATTTTAAAAATGGAGTTCTTAAATAATATTCTAAGTATTGTAGATAGTGACCAATAATAATTTTAAATTAAATTTTATAAATAAATAAATTAAAAAAAAATATAATGTGTTTTAAGCTAAATTAAAATTTTGTAACTTTAATATAATTTGAAAATGTAACTCTGTTAAAAAAAAATATATACAATCAGACCTCTTTAAATGCATAGCATCAGGACATAATAAAAAATTAAAAAAATATATATTTAAGAAGGTTATGCATTTAGAGAGGTAAAATCTATAAGTGTTATATTAGTTGGACCCAAGAAAAGACATGCATTTAGAAAGGGTTTTCATATATATGCATTTAGAGAGGTTGCATTTAGAAAAGTCTGACTGTAACAGTTTTAAAGTAATAAATATATGTAATTATACTTTAAACAACTTTTAGTTAGAGAATAAAAAAGGTTATCTTAGTAAAAAAAAAAGTTTACTATATACTAATATCAAATTTTCAGTCTTCTTTTTTTGATGCATTTATTCATAAAATTTAATTTCAAGTTAATATGTAAGGGAAGAAACATCACAGCTTCAAAGGTTATAAGTAATTCTATATGTTTTTTCTATAATTTTATATATAAAAAATTTACGTTCAAAATTCTGTGAAAAATCGGGTGAATGATATATATTAATTAGAAATACTTTATTGAATATACCGTAATAATTTGTAAAATAGTTAAAATTTTTAAATTTAATTAAAAAATACTTAAAATAACTATTACTTCTCTTGTTTTAAAGTTATAATGCAGTTTTAAAGTAAAATAAAATTAGATATATATAAAGGTTTAAAATCTAGTTAGAGATATACAGCATCCTGATAGTGATCACCACTGACTATAATTAAAAATATTCTTAATTAAAAGAACAATTAAAGCATTTTGGTTAGAAAAATATTTTTTTTTTAATTAACAAGGTTGATTATTATAGTAAATTTGCCATGTTTTAATTAGACCGGTATTAAACACATAACCTACTATATATTGTATAATTTACTATACGTGAGTATTATATCATGTCTATTCTCCAATAGATTTACAAGAGACAATCAATATCAATTTTATTACTATGCCGTTACGAAACAATGCTCTGGAGCATTATTTCGAAACACTTAATTTGAAGAGAGTGTCAAATACTTAGATTAATAAAATTACAAATTAGTTCTTAATTTAAAATTTTTTAGAATCGATTTGATTTTTCATATGTTAAAAACCGATTAAACCCGGTTCCAAACTTTATCTCGAAATAACGCCCGGGGTGTTATTTCGTGCAAATACAGTATGTACCAGACTGATCTTCCTATGAGGTATGTAAAGGCATTGAAAAAATTAATTCCTTGATTGTTTTAACAATCAACTATTTGATAACAACAGCAAAGAGATAACTCGATTGTTTAACAATTACCTTGATCACAACAGTAGGAGGGGTCCAATTTTCTGGATGTGGGCTAGATTATTTATCAAATTAGCATTATAGTTAGGGTGTTTTGATTAGGAGTAAGAACGGTATGTAAAATCGCATTTCCGACCTTTTTTTTAGAGCACCATGACAGGTTTGCCTTTTTGATTTTTTTTCATGTAATAATATTTGTGATTTATACAATTCTGCATAATGCAAGCCGTTTTTTTCGAAAAATTTAGATTGCATCCTGACAATGTTCTCTGAATTGACAACAATGGCAATTTAAAAAATATTGTTTCTGACTTACATATATTAGAACAGAATAAAATGTATTACGTGTAATATGTATAGACTCGTGAATTCTAATTTTGATGTATCAATTTAACAATTAGCATTGGCATAGATAGTCAATATCTATATATGCCGTTTTAGTTCTAAATAACGCTCAATTCACTATCGCTTGCTTTTTGTTGCTATTATATAATAATGTCTAATATAAATGTAAATATATTAAACTGGTGAGTGATAAATTGTCACTATTTTCTTTACGGTTCTCCCAATCCAAAATCTCGAAACCGACGTGACAATTAAGATTTAAAGATTAGTAATCACATTAACAATCATTGTCCGACTTAAATTTTTAATTGTCACGTCGCGTGATGTCAGTGTCATGGCCTATCGAGATTTTGGATGTCGGAACTTTGTGGTAGAACCTTTCTTTACTACTTTATTAAACACCTAACTTATTCTAAGCGTATATACTTGCAACAATGCATTCTTGCAATCAGGAAGACGGGAAATGGAGAAAGCATACGGGGGAAAGTGTTTGTGCACAAAACATTAAGATTGGACATTTAGCTAAATCAGAAACAGATAAAGTTACAGTTCATGATATTGGAAATAGAAGCTTTTATGTTGATACACCAGGATTCGATGATTCCGATGAAGATATGAGTGATAGTGAAACTAAACGTCTAATTCTTTGTACAATGTTTGATTAGGATATTTCTAAAATAACAACAATCTTGTGGTTTGTCAAGCCTAATCATGAAGCAACAGCTTCGTTAAAACATGAGGCAAAATTTATAGAGTCATTTGCCGATGACTATAACGGAAATGTACAATTATTGTCACAAGAAGAAACAAAAATTGAAGATGGCCCTCGTGAAGCTGCCAAAGAAGTAGCTATAAAGAAATATGAAGTATCATTAAATGACCCGCTTGCAAAAGCCAGCGATTTTGCAATTCTATTATTTGAAAGCTTACCAAAAGAAGATAATATTTATGTTAGAAAATGGACTTAACAAGCGATCAGCTAAACAAATATTGAATTTTTAAAGCATCTAAACCAGAAAGAATTCTTGCAAAGTACAAATCATTAATGAAAGAGCACCCCAAGCATCCTATAGAATTAAAATTTACAAAAATCTAATGTTTAAATGTCCCGAATATATTGATCCAGCGCCAGAGTCCCATTTGGAAGCTGAATCTTTTCAAAGAAATTCACCTTGGAAAAAATTATACACATACACCCAAATAATACTCATGATTATCATTCTTATCACCTAGGCTCACGTACTAAGAATGTTCATCTTGGTAAACCTCATAATAGTGAATTGGATCATAGTCCTGTGCTTGGACAGTTCGTGTTTTAACTTTTGGAGGTGTTAATTGGATGATTTCTGGATACTGGGATTGCCGTAAAAGAGAATTAAGTTTAGACGGGTGCAAGAATGTTTATACTTACTGCCAAAAAGAAAACGACGACAACGGTTGTTGCTATAAGTTTAGTTGCTGTGGCCATGATCTCAATAATAGTGAGTAGACAACAAACATACTGGAAAAGCATTCAAATAAAAATTTAATAATGTTAGCATTATTGATGCCAGAAGAAATATAGTTGTTGCAAGTGAAAGATGTCGTAGTATTTCTAATCTTTGTAAACATAAGGTTGGTGAAAGTCCTTTTAGTACGATTTGTAAAGAATATGGGCAAGGTTCGAATACAGAAGGTAGTCAGAAGGTTGCAAAATGGTGCAGAAATTGCAAAAATGCACAAACTGAGAAAGGGCGTATTAATACATAACATAAATTTCCTTCTACTTGTAGATAAATTTTATTTTGAATATCGAAAGTTAGAAAATACAAAATTACAGCGCTTAGTAGTCTATATATGACACTATTATTATCGCTTTTTTCTTCAATTTATATCATGTGGATGCACTGATTTATATAAAAACGACTTTTCATTTATTCATTGCTCACTTTTTGATAAAACTTGTACGTACGTAAATTCATAAATTTATAATCTTATGCTTTTGCAAGAAATGCTCTTACTGAAAATACACCTTTTACAAATGATAAAACTCAATAAAAAAAAAAAACATTAAAATAATCAGTTGATTTGCGTCACTGCAATTAACAAAATTTTGATTCGTATAACGCGATAACCCTAACCCTAATGTAGTTACGTTTTTGATGTAGATTATAGACTTAAGTTGCTAGAGATAATCAATTGTATATATTCTAAAGCTTTCATGTAAGTAAATTAATAAAAAGTTATTCAATTTAAATGAAATTTCAAAATATATGCAATTTATTATCCCAAACAGCTTTACTTAAATCACAAGTATTAATTAATTTTGTAAAATTTTGACCTTTATATATTAGCTACTTTCATTTATATTTTTATGAAAATTAACTCTATATATTTAATTGATTAAAGGAATTAGACTATCAGTTAAATGTAGAGATTATACCTGGGTCAGATATTACCCAGTTTACCCGCGGGTAACTGGATAGCTGGGTTATGACTAGAACTACTCCTGGTAGGTTTACCTGGGTAGTACCCGCGTAGGTATACCCAGATAATACCCAAGTAATCAGATAGATATCCGAGTGATTAATTGTAACTAATATGCAGGTACCCCAAGAGAAAGCCAGGCTCTAAATTACTTATTATATGTCGCTTAACAGATTTCTCAAGAACAGCCTTGACAAGTTGTAATTTCAAAAGAATGTTATCGATTATATAAGCTAATCGAAGCCTGGAGAGCACTTTGAAGTAAAACGTCGCTGTTAAGATGAATTTAGTCTTAAAAATAGTATCAATTTAATGAGATTGCGCTTAGAAAGATTTTACTATAATAAGGATGTGTTATAAAAGTAAAGATTTGAGAAAGTAATGTAACCTTTGATATTTAACTCTTTGTAAGTAATTATTACAACAAAACTAGATTTCGTAATTTGGCATGTCGGGGAACGTAGTGAAACGGAAGACATAAACAGTTAATAAAAAATCTTGAGTCTGGTTAGCTGAGAACGTTTCTTATTACGCGCTTATTCTCTACCAGATTTCATGTGGCACAACTAAATTATTCCTCTTAATAAAAAATTATTTCGGCATTTAGTCTGTCGAAATTAATTTTATTAATTTTCAGTTGTCGAAATTCTTAGTGAAATAATTATTTGAATTCTTTATGTCGAAATGTTTGTCGAAATTACCTTTTTTAAAAACTAATTTAGACACCCATGTATAGGCATATATACTATACTGGACTCCAATAAGTGATAATGAAATTTGTTTTATCAGCATTTTATGCAGAGTTGAACTAGACGACTACACCCGATTGTACTTTAAATAAAGAAACGTATTTGTATATAATCGCTACTCCTCCTATCAACGAAAATCAATTTATTATGAATGGTTAACTAAATGAAAAGATACAATTAAAAACAAAATATGATACGAAGGTCTTTATAGTAGAAAGAGCCCCAAAATATATATATAATCTTGAAGTAATCAAGTTTATTGTGTTCGGACTTACCTGGAAATTATTGGTTAATCAAGTCCCCCAAAATGTTTTATGCCACGCCGAAGTGATTTCCAATTTGGACTCTTTCTATGCAAAAGAATTTTCTTAATGGGATTATTTGTCTTCGGAAAGTGCAGAGATTATATTCGGATATTTGTTACGCCCGAAACTACCTCTTATAAGTTCGGTATAACTAATTTACTTTAGCGACGATATGTTAGACGGTTGATAACGTTTATGCTTAAATAAAATATATGGTTTATTGCAGTTACGCTTTAAGAGGATTATGGTGGTTTGCAGTTACGAAAGAGACAAACGGCTAAATGTATATGAAGATACAAAGTAGTCGTGTAAACAAGTTTATGAGTTATTCAATAAAGTACTCGTGTATGAAGACACAATTACTCTTTATTTATTATTTGAGTTGTTGCGAAAAAAAATCGAGGCATTTATACATTTTAGAGCATTATGATTTCTTGCTATCATATCTATTAGTTGTACAATATCTAGTATTTCTACTATATCTAATAGAACTAATACGTATATCTACTAGAACCAATAGATCTATTAGCGTTAGCACTTTTAGCTAAAGTCGCAATATCGAATAGCATATAGCATGACGTGAATAGTGACGTATTGACGTGAATAGTGACGTATTGACGTGACCTTCTACAGTAAATGCCTGCAACTATACTTGTAGCATCCTTGACATTTGTATCACATTACTATCAAGTTATTATATGATATTTCTGTCAATCATCCGGGTAACTTATGAGTTCACCCGGGTAGCGTTTTTGTTTGACCAAGTACAATCACTAGTTAAATGACCTTCATGGGTCATTTTGCTCGAAATGACCAATGACTGGTCACTAGTCATTTGGGTCATTTAAACCATTTCAAGACATTATTATTCCTGCTGAGACGTACGTTGTAAAAGTGCAGATTCGGAGTCACTGGTTCTCATAACCTAAATCATAACAAAGACTAAGCTACTCAAAAGAAGGCGTAGAAGATTTGGTCCGAGAACCAAGGATCCTACTGCCACTAGGATCCTCGGATTAGGTAGTCTTTATTATGATTTTATTTGCTTAATATCTATCTGCTCCTGTTAGTTACATGAGCTTTTATACATTATGAACAACATTGGGCTTTGCTACTATCATTATATATACTGTAATATAGTTATTTAGAGCATCGGGGGGGGGAATCTATACTAACGATAAGCAATTTACATTACAATGACTTTAGTTCCCACCATGTGAATACCAGCGACGCCTTATTATTGTTCTCAATGGAACATCGCCTCAAGCCAAACCTGAATTAGCATTATTAAATGCCTTCGCTTTGTCGATCAATCCGCATTTCGGGTCCCGAGTCATGTGGCTTACAGTAAATCACGTTTTCATAACTGCGGCTAGGTCATATTACCCCGTTACAACGTGCAAACACGTAGTAATTATTCATGAGTATACTGAATCTTATTGAAAATGACAAATTTTGCCTATGTCAAATAAGTACAATATATTAGACTTGTTGCAGCGTACGCAAGCATTTGAAAAATTTTCTGATGACCTCTAATGACCTCGAAATGACTGTTAATTATTAGAGAACATTAGGTTATTGTGCACGTAGAGATGACGTTAATGTAAAGAAAAATAAATGTGCATTGTATCATAATCATATTTATGCCTTAAGTTGTTCGGGATAATGAATTTCATTTATTTTAAATTTTTCATTAAATTTAATAACTTTTTATTAATACACGAGAGGACTAAAAAAAAATTTATATAATTGTAAAAAAAATGCGAAAGTTAAATTACATGAAACTTTTAAGGTCTATGCATTTAATTATCCCAAATAACTTTAAGGCATGAATAATGATTAACTTAGTAAAATTTTGATATATATATGTATAGTCAACTCTCAATACGTAAATGCACGCTCTATGTATGCCCCCCTCTAAATGCACACAAATCTTCAGTTCCAGTATATAGAACACTTAATAAAATGTTCACCATAAATGCACACCCTCTTTAAATGCACGTTTTTTTTAAAAATATTGCCTATCGTTCCAAGGGAGGTGCATTTACGGAGGGTTGACTGTACATACAATTATCGATTATGTTTTATAAAATTAGGTTTATCTGATAATTAATTTTTATTGGTTAAAAAGATTATCAATTAACATACGTACTTCTAAGTCATTTCTGCATTTAAGCTTTGAAATGACCCAATGACTAATCATTTTCCATTTGAGTCATTTTAGTCATTTCAGGTCATTTTTTATCACTGTACGTAATTGCAATGCAGGAAGCCTAAAACCTCAATCAACTCATACCGAATAAAAGATAATGGAGATAAGCTAAATTTGTCATTCTCAACAGTAGTACACTATTAAGTCCAATTTAGTTTAATTAAAGAAGGTTAGGGTTAGTCGAAAGTTAAGAGTAGGCTCTATAAGTAAATTACTTTCTTGTATTTTTTTGAATTTATAACGAAATAATCAATCTGAAGAAAAAAGTTTTCACAAAGGCCCAAAGCTTATCATATTGGATTATTATAAAATTAACGTTTTAAATCTTGCTACAAAGACGTTCTATGAAATCGGAAGCCCGCCTAATTTCTTTTTTATTGGTTTTTGACGAATTATTAGGGTATTAGATTTATGTTTGTTTCGATTTAATGAGGATCTATTCTGCACTACTCTGCAAGAAGGATTTAATAAATATGCATCAAACCCATTAGATTATCTTAAACCCATTAGATTATCGCCTAACTTATTAGCCTGGACCTATTGAGGCATGCCATTTGACATTGTTATTATGAATAAACGTTAAAAATGATATAATTGAAGGCTGTCTGTCAGATAATTGCATTGTCAAATAACCAACCCCACTTTCAAAAATTGTTGGGGTATTAAAGTTCTACATACGTATGCCGCATATTGCCGCCTATTAACCATATGGATACATATGAAACAAATCCGTGATTGATTCTCGTGTTAATCCGCAGTTGATATTCGCCTTTGCACCATCAGACTCCGATTTCTTAGTATAATGGGAAATCAGAATCCCTAACAT